TTGAATGTTAGTAATAATGTTTTAAAGTTAATCCTTTTGTGATACAGGGAGCAAGTGTAGTTGAATCAGCAGAGGAGTGATATGTTCTGTGGACTTGGAACGTGTTATGATCCTTGCTGCAGTCGGTGAATAAGTATGCTAGGAATACCTGCTAAAATTGCACTGCAGTAATCAATGCGTGATGTGACCAAGGCATATCCTAGGACTTCCGTTGAGTGTTGAGTTAGAGCAGGACATGGTTTGGAGATGTTTCGTACGTGGAAAAAGGCAGTCCGGGATACGTTATGCATATGGCTGGAGTAAGACAGGGTACTGTCCAATATTACATCAAGGCTCTTAACCTGTTTCCAAAGTTCCTGTGTTTCCTTGCTGATGTTGGTTTTTGAACCAATGAGTAGTAGCTCAGTCTTACTATTGTTGAGTTGCAGGTAATTAGTTGTCATCCATGTCTGTATGTCATGTAGACAGGCAGTGAGTGTACTGGAGGGGAGTGTGGAGCTGGGGTTAGTGGACAGATAAGGTTGTATATCGTCAGCGTAACAGTAAAAATGGATATTGTAGCCCCGGAAGATGTTGCCAAGAGGGAGGAGGTAGATGATGAATAGTAGTGGTCCAAGCACTGAACCCTGCGGTACTCAGTAATGGACGCTGGAGGTTTCCGACCTGTAGTTTTGTATTTTTACATATTGTGACCTTTCTGAGAGGTAGGAAGAAAACCATTTCTCACTTCTCTATCAAAATGAAACTCTACAGTCAAAACCTTTTCAATCCTTTTTCAAAACAGCATTTTTGCGACAAAAGGATGCACACACTCTTTCAGGCAGGTAACAACACACTGATGTGCTTTATACAAAACACTGCTGTCTTTAGTACTTTGTATACCTATTTTCTCATACAGGCTTCTGTAAAATGTTATCATCTACTAACATTTCAATGAATACAAAAAATAGAAAGGGAAAAAAAACATTTATAGATTTGTTCTCCTTTGCAGGTTTTTACATTAGCAAAAACACAAAGAAAAGTAGAATTAGAGTACAGTAGTCAATACAATGTTACTGTAAACTACCGAAAACAACGGCAATGATATACAAAATTATTATTTTACAGTAAGGGATGGTTTATGGATCCTGCCTTCTGTTAGGGTCTGACCACATCACCTCATTCACATCACACGCAATTTCATCCCTCGGTAGACAATGGGGAATATTTCGTCTTGTGTGCTGTATCCAAAGCAAACCCGTGTCTCTGCATGCCACTTTCATTGTTTGCAGAAGAGGCATGTGGGCATGTAGTTGGTGGTCGTATGCCAACACCAAGCCAAAAAAGATTTCCTCAATTGGATAAAGGAATGGGGAGTAAGGGGGGAAATATACAACTTTGAAGCTATCGTGTTTTGTGAACCAGTCCTGGACCAGAGCAGCCCGGTGGAAACTAACGTTATCCCAGATTACAACAAACCTTGGCTGCTCTGTAAATACTGTAATGCTGAAATAGTCATTAGATAGTTGTGTACCTGTTCTCATTTCTGAAAGTTCAAATTATGAACACCACTGTAAAGTTACTCAAGTTGGGCTGGACGCTCAGTCCTGCTTCTCACATGATCAATAACTGTGTGTCTGAACTCTTCCTCCTTGAACTTGTCATCGTTTGTCGTCACCTGCCTTTCCCTCCTAATCCCCTTGCTCTCTGTCCATTGTTGGCTTCCATTGTTCAAAACAGGTAATCTGACCTTTGACCTATTTATAGGCTAGACTAAAGCAGTGATTGGTTAGTGATCTGTTAAGCAGTTAGTTGTTGCACGTGTGAGGAGTGGCTGTGTGACCTGGTGAATAAGTGCAGCATGTTGATTGGTTGTGTTTGGAAAAGGAAAGCAAGTGACTTCCTGTTGAAAGGCAGAGAAATAGCTTAATAGTTTGTCGTTTTGAGTGAGAGGTTTCAAAAATTGTGTGATATGTAAAGATTTTGTGTGTAAGCTGATGTAAAAAACTGTAAGCAGGCAGCAGTGAGGAGGAAACAGCATGATATGTTGAGGACAGCTACAGTTCACTGACTCTGTGTGTTTGCATATCTGTCCTGCCTCTCTGCTCCCAGCCGTTAAGAGGCCAGTGTTGATCAGTGGCTGTCCAGGCCTTTCAGAGCCACTGACACGCCGGCAGCACAATGATGATGTCACTGATTCTACTGCTGGCCACCCTGGGGCTCCTTGTTCAGGGTGAGACTCTCTTCTGAAAACTTTGCTTCAGGATGCAACCAGCTTCACCACAATGATGTTCTGCTGTGATGGAGAAACACTGAAACAAGCAGCATTTACCTTCTTCCATCTGTTCTCCATCTTAAAGAAATGAGACTCTTCTGTTTGGATGCTGATCATCTTTCTCCAAGCTGGATTTGTCTCAATAACCCTTCTCCTCTTTTTCATCTTTTCCAGGTTCATCAGGACAAATCACGGTGACTCAGTCTCCTGGATCTCAGTCTGCTGTTCCAGGACAGGCTGTCTCTCTCAAATGTAAAACCAGTACAAGTGTTAGTAGCTGGCTCAACTGGTACCTTCAGAAACCTGGAGAAGCTCCTAAACTCCTGATTTATTCAGCTACAACCCGTCAGTCTGGAGTTCCAGATCGTTTTAGTGGAAGTGGATCTGGGACTGACTTCACTCTGACCATCAGTGGAGTTCAGGCTGAAGATTCAGGAGTTTACTACTGTCAGCAGGGTGGCAGCATCCCGTTCACACAGTGATACAACGTCGTACAAAAACCTCCCTCAGCTGGAGAGGAACTGATCTGACTCAACAGCTGCACTGAAACTAAAACAGAGGTTTATAAAAAAACATTTAGACAATAATAATAACACTTTAAACAAAAAAGAAGCTTAAAATTAATTAATTACATCACATAATATTTTGGATTTGATCTAAACATTCATACTTTTAATACTTTTATTAAAACAGCTTTTTAAAAATGTATTTAATAAGTAATTGTATATGTATGATTTGAATCAATGTAACATCTGAAGTATAAGACATGAACACTACAATTGTGTGTGTATATATATATATATATATTTCACTTCATCTCAATTTTTCATAGAAACTTGAACATACTCATTTTGGAAATAATGGGGTGCACACTATACCGACTTTAAGATTTAAGTAATATTTTAGAATTCCGTAGTCTCATTTACAATGTCAAAGTCGTTAATATTATGACTATTTAGTTTAAACAGATGTGATTTATGATTGAAATGTTTCTACCATGTGTTTTGTTCCAAAGGTTTATTATTTCAGACAAATCTGTTATGACAACAGCAGAAAAAGTTTTACAGTCAAGAAGTCTTTCAGACTGACTGAACTAATGGCCTTTAAACTCCTACCATCACTGGTTTGTACTAATCAAACTGAAATCTTCATGGGGGAACATTTGTGTCAGCTCAGAGTTTCTCTGGATGTAATACAGTCACTGACACCATCAAGAGAACATTTATTAAGACACTTTGATAATAATAAACATGAAAACAGCTGATTGGATGAAAAGGTCTTTATTATCTGGAAACACTGAAATAATATTGAAACAGTGCAACAAGCTAGTAAATCTTGCTGTTGAAAGATGTCAAATAAAAGAGAGAGACAGTTCCAGAGTGCAGAGTGAGAGCAGGAGCAGAGGAAAACCAGTAGCAGAGTCCCAGTGAGTCAGGTCAGGACTGGGAACACTGGTCTCTCCTCAGTGTCTCTGAGAGCGGAGTCTGGGAGCCCTGGGTGGCCTCACAGGTCACAGAGCCCACCTTCCTCCACTGGTCTGCAGAGAGCCTCAGGGTGCTGCTCCAGCTGTAGTGGCCGTCCTTCTGCAGCACCCCGGGGCTCCTGCTCTCCTCCCAGCTGCTGCTGCTGCTGCTGCTGCTGCTGCTGCCGTCCACCTTCCAGGCCAGACTCCAGTCTGAGGGGAAGCCCTTGTTGGCCAGGCACATGAGCGTGGCCTTCCCCTGCTGCAGCTCCTCGCTGGAGGGGGGCAGCACCGTCAGGGTGGGACGGACATCACCCACTGGAGGAGGAGACAGAGAGACAACATGAAGAAAGTTCATGCACAGAGAAAATAAACTCCACCCTGTTGGTTGCAGCAGAGGAGGCTGCTGGTTCTGTTGGTCTTCCTCAGACTGGATGAAACTGGTCTTCAAGGTTTCACTTCCCTCTCTCAGCTCAGTAACCATGGCAACAGACAGGCATCACTGCTGAACCATGAAGATAAAGTTTCAGGCGGGAAACTCTCTCTTTATCTGAATTACCGTTAAACTTCAACATTTAAAGACTTTTATTTGTTCTTCAGATTTTTCAGCTCAAATCATCACTCATCAGAGACGGTGTGTGTTTGCTCTCTTCATTTACGCAGACATCACTAGTGAACCACGACAACAGACGGACTGAACTATATATTATAGTATATATTGTTCCATTGGTCTGAAAGGGTGGCAGTGGCGCAATGAATGAGACTATGCCTTTGGTGTGAGAGACCCAGGTTAAATCCCCCACTGTGACCCATCCACCATTGTGTCCCTGAGCAAGACAATGAACCCTAGTTGCTCCAGAGGTGTGTGACCTCTGACATGTATAGCAATTGTAAGTTACTTTGGATAAAAGCGTCAGCTAAATGAATAAATGTAAATGTAATGAAAGTCAAATTGAACCCTCTAGAATGAAATGAAAGCAGACAGAAGATGTTGTAAAAGAAAATCTTTCTGCAGTCATCAAAGCAAATGTCCATAAAAATGATCACTGACACATTCCTAATCAATCCTCTGGTAAACGTATTGATCCATTGAGAAGCAGCATCATCAGAGTAATCCAAGTCCCTGTTGGAGTCAGTCAGAGCATTTCCATAGAGAGCCACTTTGCATCAGCAGCACCATGCTCCAGTGCTCTGGGAGACTTTATAGTCCTGAGAGTTGAACACTGGATGACTGACAGCTGTCCTTCATGACAACAGAAGCCACAGAAATCCTCCTCATCAAAAACATGACTTTGGTCTCCGTCCTCATCTGGACTCTCCTCTGCTGCTGCTTCACAGGTAAAGTCCAGAGAATCAAACTCCTCTCCTCTATGAACATCCGTCCCTCTGAAATGAAGCCCACAAAACCATGACGCTGCTTTATGTGTTTGTCTCTGTATCCTCAGAGTCCAGAGGCCAGATCACAGTGACTCAGTCTGGAGCAGTGAGCTCTGCTCTGGGAGCCTCCGTCTCCATCAGCTGTAGGGTCAGTCAGCAGGTTCAGAGCTGTAGCAGTGCTTACTGTTTACACTGGTACCAACAGAAAGATGGAGAAACTACTAAACTACTCATTCGCTACACCAACGAGAGAATGTCGGGGATTCCAGGTCGTTTTAGTGGAAGTGGATCTGGGACTGATTTCACTCTGACCATCAGTGGAGTTCAGGCTGAAGATGCAGCAGTTTACTACTGTCAGAGTTATCATAACATCAACAGTCAGCTTGTGTTCACACAGTGAAAAAGCGTCGTACAAAAACCTACCTCAGTCAGACTGAACAGAAACTGAACTGACTGCTGCAGCTGGAAGCTACTGCAGAGACTGATACAGTTCACTGAGGACACACACGCACACACACACACCATGGTCTTGGGGGCCGTCATTCACATAATGCATTCCCTAGCCCGTCACCCTAACCTTAACTAAGAAAACTAACCATAGAAACAAGTCCTAACCTCAAACAGCCCTTTAAATTGTGGAGTCCAGCACCACACGTCTGTATGTGTGGGCTTTTATCCTCCAAGAGTCAAAATACTCTCAGTTAATATTGTTTAAGATGAAGAAGAACTGTCAAAACATCAACACTATTATAATATTTAATAATAATAATAATAATAATAATATTACTCTTGAAAATCCTCTGGTACAAGTAAAAGTCCTGTTTTTAAATGTTCACTCCAGCATCATCAGCTAAATCTAGTTAATCCAAAAGTACTAATTTGGGCAGAATGGCTCCTTCCAGAGTGTTGAAATATTGTTACTGCAGCATTTTAGTGTCACAACTGGTGGAAGTGGAGCAAGTTTAACAAGTTAATATGCTGTGTAAGGTATTTTAATTTGTGCAGTTAATCATACAAAATCTAATGAAAATGAACTGTGACTGTCAGATAAATCTAAAGTTAAAAGAACCATATTTGCCTCCCAAGATAAATCTGAGGGGTCGTGAGATGATTAATGGAAGATGAAAGAAGAAGAATCAAAGTTGTGGAACACAAAGCTTTGATTTTTCTGTTCTCCTCAGGGCTCAAACAGTTTTTGAAATTAAACCATGTGTGAAGTTATGAGGCGAAATGTCTTTTGTGGAACTGCTAACAACTCACAGACGTCTGAAACACGGGGCCCAACAACCAGGTCACAGACCACAAACAGGCCAAATCATTGTTTATTATGAGCTCGTCATATGTTTTATGTAAAATGTTCATCAAAGTAGCAATAAAGTATAAAACTATAAAATAGCAGAATATTTCTCTCTGAGAGGGAAAGTACAAGTACTTCAAAACTGAACTTAGGTTAAAATAAGTAAAGAAAACAATGTTTAAACTTAATTCAAAACAAGATAACAAAAATAATAAATATATCACCAGATAAAATTGTATCATTAAACATAGAAACGTTAGGTATACAGGGGGGCAATGCAGGCAGCGCTTCATATTCAGTAAGTTAAATTAAAAGGAGGTGGTCCAATAGAAAAAGGCAAATCAGAAACAATTTCAGGAATATTTTAAAGTTAGAGATTTGTATTAGCTCACAACTATAGTGCAAATTCTAGTATTACCAGAGCCGGCCCGTCCTAAACGCTCACTACGCACGTCGCATAGGGCCCCGCATATTAAGCAGGGCCCCGCCTTACTCTCGTGTCAAAGGTGAAAGCGAGTGTCAATGTGTTGATGGGAGGATGAAAAGGGAATCGATGTCCTTCTGGGCACAAGAAGAGGAAAACATCAAGGAGAGTGAATTGTGGGAACAGCAGTCCGGTAAACTGGTGTTCTCTCCTCTCAAAGTCTGATGTCAGCAGATCACAGTAAGTTAATGTGTTGGCTGCAGTGCATCTCTCTAGACCGTCTGTCTTGCTGTCCCAGCAGGGCAGCGCCCGGCAAATATTCATAACGTTTGATAAACGGCAACATGCAACGGTGTTTATAAACTGCAGCTTGGAAAAGAAAACCGCGCCACGCGTGAACATGCGTTTATATGAACGTAAGAAAACTTGCGCCTTCCTGCTGAGACCTCTATGAGGACCAGTTCAAACAATACCTGGATGTGCTGGCACTCCTCAGAGGCGCACATCATTTTAAAACAAGACAATAATAAAGGAAATGTGGGGAGCCAGTTTGAATGGGCCTGATGTAGCTGATGACATTTATCGTTATCTATAATTTACAGGGTCGATGCTGAAGTTTGTCAGTAGAACAGATGCTGGATTGTCAGCCGGTACTAGCACAGACCCAGTCCAGATGTCTTTACACACAGACCCAGGTGAAATATACAGTCAGCCTCAGGCAGTACAAGCAGCCACAGATGTACAGCCATCGACCAAATGAACCTGCAGATTGGCCCCCGGTCTTGGGAGACTTTAAGAGGACTGAGTTTGTGCGCAGAGGTCCATTCAAACCAGCACTGGTTTCCATTCAGGCTTATTACAGAGACAGACTGTTTTAAAGGAGGGAGGGTTGTAGTGAGAGCACTGCAGTGTCATTAGTGACTGTGCAGCAATGGCAAACTGTTTACATTGCTCATGATTCAGGTAGAAGGGCCCCATGGCAGGATTTCGCATAGGGCCCAAGGGAGGTCAGGACCGGCTCTGAGTACTGCTGGTAATAACTGTTGTTAGGAAGTCTGGCTGAAGTCTCTAACTCAACCACTGAGGGGCAGTAAAGTAAAGTCAGTGTCAACAACCTGAAAGGTTCCCTCTGTTAGAACGCTGCCTCAGTTTTATCAGCTTTAAAAAGACAAATGTTTGTGCTTTTGGAGTTCACCTGTTGAAGAGCTTCAGAGTCTACAGCAAAAAATTCCACCTGACTGTCGTGGAAATTGCATCTTGCTGGTGAGGAATTAAGCAAATAACTGAGTAACAACCAACCGTTGTCTTTGAAGCATTTATTAACCAAAGAGAATAAACAGAGATCCAGAGACCTGCTGCCTCGGGCAGCTTCGGGCGTCTGGCCCCGAGGTATGCACGAGGTGCAGCAGCATAACGTCACTGATTATTGGAATCTCCCGACGCTCCGACAGGATCGGTCAAGATGAACCGACAACAGCCTCTCTGATCAGGAAAGTAATTCATTAAAGCACAAACACGTGGCCTATAGAAAATCTATTTAGCATGATCCATCAGGGGAGCTGCCGTCTTGTTAAGAGGAGCCGAGCTCCCCCGTAGTTTGCACCCGGCCTACAATCTCGACCATCGGATAGCTGCAACAGGAAATCACATTTGGATACTCTTTTACTTATGGATTTGTTTTTCTGGTGCTGAAATGTTTCACCTCTTAACTGAAGTTAAAGTGCACTTTAACGCGCCTTACTGAGATTGTAATGGGTATAATATTACCGTTTGTTTATGCGTTATATTACAGCCTTACAGCAAAAAGCATTGTATCACAGAGTAATATTTATTTGTGTAGCAGAATAAGGATAACAGATACACTTTTTTCTCCAGGCTTATTTGACAGGGACACAATGATAACACATAATGGCTGTTTCCATCTGCTGTCCCTGGACTGGTTGTCACTCTAAAAACACAAAAGGATTAAGATTTACATGTTACATATAGATCATCAGCTCACTCATAGGCCTACACACAAGCTGACTGAATCTCAATCAGTATGTTTGCCTGCAGCATGGACATACACACAAGCATACATACAAGTAACAGGAGTTTATAGCCTGTCTAATACTGTAACAGCAGTGGGTTGGAATACTTAAAACAATCTTTCTACCAGATTGCTGGAATACAATAATGATGATCTAAGAGGGGATCTTTAGTCTGGATTCATCTTACAGACGCACAGAAGTTGAATGGATTTTTATTCATTAGCGTGATTGCAGTGACAGTTCAGTTCAAAAACACTAAAGAACGAGGAAGATGGAACCAGACGCGAGCTTTTATTTTGCAGAAGGTTGCGGATGGCACCAGAGGACAGGGCATGAGACAGGAGGCTCCAGGCTGCAGCCATACAGTCTTGGCACTATAGGCCCTACTGCTACGGGACACTGCTTCGTAAGCTTGTTCCACGCGGTTGGAGATTATCTACTGTGCATGCGCAAAACAGAAGTGGGAAATGAGAAAACAAATAAGGAAAACGTAAATTCCACCTATTATTTCCTTTTGGTTTCCTGGTTTATTCGAGCTGAAAGCACGGAAACAAACGTCAGTTTTCTCATTTGGTTCATACAGAAAAACCAAATATTGATTAGTATTTTCCTTTACAAGATTAAATGGAGTAACTGAATGATGGGATGATCCACGGACCATTCAGCTCGTCCATTTGTTTTCTTTTATTTCTTGCCAGTCTGTTTTAGAAATTGTGCAGAATCTCTTTTCCTTTGTCCACTTGTGCCCTTTACTTCGCCCTCTCCCCCTGTACTGTCCGTATCCTCGTACCAGGATGGATTTATACAGCACCAATCATTTTCTTTTGACAGTTGTCTCCGTGTTGATCTCCTGTATGTTAAGCATGCTCCTTCATGCTGTCTGTCTTCAATGATGTGACATGCTGTGAAATACAACTCTTCCTTACTCCAATTTCTCTTTATCTGACTTTTACTGGACCGGAGCACATTTTCTTCTTGCACCAGCAGTGGTGGTTAAGTTTCGGTTTCTCATCAGTTTAATCAGATCCTTAATTAATCTATTCTAATTTTCAGTTCTGAGCTTTCCTTGGCCTCACTTCTTGTCTTCATATAACCTACCGATCTGAATAGCAGTTTTTTACTTTTCTTTCCTCTGGACAGGGCTGAACGCTCTATTGCATTTCTGCTCTCCTTTCTCTCCAAACATGTCTTTAGCTGCTTCAATAGTTTTAGACTAAAGCTTCCATTTTGCAGGAAACCCACCAAAAATACCAAATTTTTCCATTAATGTTTAGGCTAATATTTTTTTAGTCATCAACTTCAGAACTGGGGAAGGTAATCTTGGAGTGGATTCAGACTCAGTCCTCGCTTTACTCTGACACTTGCCATAGTCTACTCTCCCTGGTCAGTCTCTACTCAGGTCCATAGCACTATTTGGGTCCACTGAGTTCGATTAAGTCTGAGGCGCTGCAAACCTAACTTATCAGCTGGAAACCCCCAAAACTCTCAGACACTACAGAGAAAACCAGGACACTTCTGTCTGCGGCCACTTTGATCCAGTTATACTCTGGACCCACTTGTGCATTTACAGGTGGAAAGAGGATCCTGCAATCTCTCAGGCACAAGATTTAAGACTCTTCCTTCACTCTGTTCAGTCTCACTTTCTTTATCTTTTAACTCAATTATCAACTCATTTCTCAGCGTATAAGTTCTTTTCCTTTCTTTCGTGGAAGGGCGCGAAGGTCAGGGCTCCACTGAACACAGCTTCTCCCTACTGGGAGGATTTTCCAAAAATAAGCCGACTTCTGTCCTTCAACGGAGTCCGAATCCCTCGTCTGTCCTCTCTGGGGTGCCAAATTGTCAAGGAAATTGCATGTTGCTGGTGAGGGATTAAGCAAATAATTGAGTAACAACCAACCGTTGTCTTTGAAGAATTTATTAATAAAAGGGAATAAACAGAAATATATATAATATAGATATAAAGATGTTTGTCCTCTGATGTCTGCAGATATTGAGACACATTTTGGACAACAGGGACTGAGCCTGATTAAAACAATGTGAAGATGGAAAACGTCCTGCTGGTTGCAGCAGAGGAGGCTGCTGGTTCTGTTGGTCTTCCTCTAATTGGATGAAACTGGACTTGAAACTGGTTTCACTTCCCTCTCTGAGCACAGTAACCATGGCAACAGACAGGCATCACTGATGAACCATGGCAACAGGCAGGTTTCAGTACTAAAGATAAAAGTGTGATGTTTTACTGTAGTGTAAATTCTGATCACCAAAACCATCAGATGTTGGTGGTTAACTGTGAACAGGAGAACCAGTTAGAACAGGTCAGCTGATAGTTAGTTAGTTATAACTTCTATTGTTAGTTTGTGTTAATCTGCATGAGGATGTTTTAAACAGCAGCTGTCCCAGCAGTGAGGAGGAAACAGCATGATATGTTGAGGACAGCTACAGTTCACTGACTCTGTGTGTTTGCATATCTGTCCTGCCTCTCTGCTCCCAGCCGTTAAGAGGCCAGTGTTGATCAGTGGCTGTCCAGGCCTTTCAGAGCCACTGACACGCCGGCAGCACAATGATGATGTCACTGATTCTACTGCTGGCCACCCTGGGGCTCCTTGTTCAGGGTGAGACTCTCTTCTGAAAACTTTGCTTCAGGATGCAACCAGCTTCACCACAATGATGTTCTGCTGTGATGGAGAAACACTGAAACAAGCAGCATTTACCTTCTTCCATCTGTTCTCCATCTTAAAGAAATGAGACTCTTCTGTTTGGATGCTGATCATCTTTCTCCAAGCTGGATTTGTCTCAATAACCCTTCTCTCTTTTTCATCTTTTCCAGGTTCATCAGGACAAATCATCCTGACTCAGTCTCCTGGATCTCAGTCTGCTGTTCCAGGACAGGCTGTCTCTCTCAAATGTAAAACCAGTACAGGTGTTTATAGTTATGGTTACAACTTTTGATAACTTTATTAATATAGGATTTAAATCATTTATCAAAGCTGTACTTTAATATTTAAATTAATATAATCTATGAAGATAAACAAGACAAGAACACTAGTTGTATATATTTTGGGTAATTTGATCGCACAATTTTTCATAGAAATGTGAACATATTCATTATTGAAATTAAATAACTAATAAATCTCAACATCAAGTATTTCACCAAACACGTATTATGATCGACCGATCAGTAACATTTTAATTATTTCCTTTTGTCATCTTTGGTTTCTGTGGTTCTTATTTATCTTTATTTTGATGATGTTTTTTAAGATTATAAGAGATTATTTAGACTTTAAACGTTTTATTACATCAAAAGCAATTACAATATTACAGTTATTACTATTTACACAGTTTAGAATGAACAGATATGATTTATCTTTGAAATGGCTCAAAATGTTGGGCCATAAAATGTTTTTTTATTACAGATAAATCTGTGACTATAACAGAAAAGATACTACAGTCATGAAGGCATTCATAATACTGTGATAATAATAAACATGAAAACAGCTGATTGGATGAAAAGGTCTTTATTATCTGGAAACACTGAAATAATATTGAAACAGTGCAACAAGCTAGTAAATCTTGCTGTTGAAAGATGTCAAATAAAAGAGAGAGACAGTTCCAGAGTGCAGAGTGAGAGCAGGAGCAGAGGAAAACCAGTAGCAGAGTCCCAGTGAGTCAGGTCAGGACTGGGAACACTGGTCTCTCCTCAGTGTCTCTGAGAGCGGAGTCTGGGAGCCCTGGGTGGCCTCACAGGTCACAGAGCCCACCTTCCTCCACTGGTCTGCAGAGAGCCTCAGGGTGCTGCTCCAGCTGTAGTGGCCGTCCTTCTGCAGCACCCCGGGGCTCCTGCTCTCCTCCCAGCTGCTGCTGCTGCTGCTGCTGCTGCTGCTGCTGCTGCCGTCCACCTTCCAGGCCAGACTCCAGTCTGAGGGGAAGCCCTTGTTGGCCAGGCACATGAGCGTGGCCTTCCCCTGCTGCAGCTCCTCGCTGGAGGGGGGCAGCACCATCAGGGTGGGACGGACATCACCCACTGGAGGAGGAGACAGAGAGACAACATGATGAAAGTTCATGCACAGAGAAAATAAACTCCACCCTGTTGGTTGCAGCAGAGGAGGCTGCTGGTTCTGTTGGTCTTCCTCAGACTGGATGAAACTGGTCTTCAGGGTTTCACTTCCCTCTCTCAGCTCAGTAACCATGGCAACAGACAGGCATCACTGCTGAACCATGAAGATAAAGTTTCAGGCGGGAAACTCTTTCTTTAGCTGAATTAACATCTTAAACTTCAGAGTTCAACAATTAAAGACTTTTATTTGTTCTTCAGATTTTTCAGCTCAAATCCAAACTCATCAGAGACGGTGTGTGTTTGCTCTCTTCATTTACGCAGACATCACTACTGAACCACGACAACAGACGGACTGAACTACTTAAAACAGTTTGAAGTGCTACAAATGCTTTTTCCAGATCAAACAAATATTCTACCAATACAGCATGTGATTAAACTAACTGCAGTGATATTATGATATTCATTGGTTATAGTGAGGATGTGACATGTCGTTAAATTCATCAATCTGGGAGGAAGACTGAGTAAAACACATTCAATGTTTCCAGATAAAACACTCACTAAATAAATTCTTGATAGATTTCTTCAGCTGAAATTGGAGATTATTACATTTAAATCAATTCAGTATATTTTGTTTCAGTCAAAGTGTTTCAACATAATTTCTTTTCAGAGGACAAAATTACAAATCAATATATTTTATTTAATAACTGTAGTTTTTAAGAACAATGAAATTATAAGAATGTACAAACTGTGTAAATGAACATTTTAGAGAGTTGAGTTTGAGTTTCTTGATCAGACAGAATTTTATCTGTATCACAGTGAAGTAATGGTCACTGCAATAATATTAAATTTCAACTATCAACCAACATCTTTAACTAAAGCTTGTTTTTATTCAATATAAAAAGAAAATATTAAATCTGAGTTCATGTAGAAGTCAAAAGTACTTACAGTTAACATCCAGTCTGGTTCCTCCACCGAACGTGTACCACAGTGATACAAACTGATTGAGTCGTCGTACAAAAACCTCTCACTGTAGAGAGACACGGCTCTCTGACTTTGAACACAACAAACTCAACAAAAACACTTCCTGTTTTTAAAAGAATGAACTATTTCATGTTATATTTATCAAACAGTGACACAGTTGTTGAGAATGAATCCCATTTTTACGTATATATTGTTCCATTGGTGTGAAAGTCAAATTGATCCCTCTAGAATGAAATGAAAGCAGACAGAAGATGTTGTAAAAGAAAATCTTTCTGCAGTCATCAAAGCAAATGTCCATAAAAATGATCACTGACACATTCCTAATCAATCCTCTGGTAAACGTATTGATCCATTGAGAAGCAGCATCATCAGAGTAATCCAAGTCCCTGTTGGAGTCAGTCAGAGCATTTCCATAGAGAGCCACTTTGCATCAGCAGCACCATGCTCCAGTGCTCTGGGAGACTTTATAGTCCTGAGAGTTGAACACTGGATGACTGACAGCTGTCCTTCATGACAACAGAAGCCACAGAAATCCTCCTCATCAAAAACATGACTTTGGTCTCCGTCCTCATCTGGACTCTCCTCTGCTTCACTCAGGGTGAGGAAAATCATTTTTCTGTGATGTGAAAATCATTTGGAGTGTAGCTGAGTTTCACCTCACCATCTCATGTCCAGTGTTTCTTCTCTCTCCTCAGGGTCTGTTGGACAAAATGTTGTCTTGACTCAGCCAGCAGCCAAATCAGTGCAGCTGGGTCAAACTGTCTCTATTGACTGTAAGGCCAGTCCAACAGTGCATCACTACACTGGTTCACAATACTACCTGTCCTGGTACCATCAGAAAACTGGAGAAGCTCCAAAACTTCTGATCTATTTAACATCAAAAAGATATTCTGGAATCTCCTCCAGATTCAATGGAAGTGGAGCAGGGAATGGAGTTGACTTCACTCTGACCATCAGTAGAGTCCAGACTGAGGATGCAGCAGTTTACTACTGTCAGAGTTTTCATAGGATCACACATTGGTTCTCTGTGACCGACGAGTTCACACAGTGAAAAAGCGTCGTACAAAAACCTCCCTCAGTCAGACTGAACAGAAACTGAACTGACTGCTGCAGCTGGAAGTTACTGCAGAGACTGATACAGTTCACTGAGGACACACACACACACACACACACACACACACACACACACACACTTTTTCTGATGCTCATTGTGTCTCCACCAGTTTTCCTCTTGAAGTTTAATTTCAGAATTTAATTTAAATTCTAATTTATTGATTTAAAAGGGACAGTGCACATCAATGAATGTCAAGGAAGTAAACATGCCAGATTTAGCCAAAAGGCTATTTTATATCTGTAGTCCTGTCAGTGCAAGTCAATATATACTAGACAACATAATGAAAATTTTACTGGCGCCAGACCCAGGGGTAATCTGGACCAGCAGCAAAGGTTACACAGGCTGGGAAGCAGTGTGTAGCCACTGTGGATTAATAGAGAGACGACCAAAGTTAGCGTCTTGCTCAAGCCAGAGCTCATTTATTTCTGACTACAATCACATACAGTCCCAGTCACATTATCTTTAAATCTCAGCTTAAAGTGTATCTTAAACTAATACTAAACATTTCACAAAATAAACAACAAATGACAATATAAAATGCATTTTATCTTGGGGAAAATAACCACTCATGACATCAAAATAATTGAACAGACATTCCACTTGACTTAACACATTACATTTCTGCTATAATGTTAACACTAGCATGAAATACACACACCTTTGTACACATTTCTTGAACATCACTCTCCTACACTTGCACTTAACCGCATTGCGTAACAATATGGCGGTACCGCGACATGCTAGTGTGTGATCAGCGAGGTGAAGTAGTTTGAATATGGTATCTTTCCCCTGACCATTTACTCACTACTGGCTGGCTAAGACTCTTAACAACGTCTAGAACACATTTTTGTCTGTTACAGAATGTTAATGTTAGTTACTCACACTTACAAAACTACCGTGAGACTGAAGTTCATGAAAATAACTACTGAACATGACGACGCTCGTCGGAGCTACAAAACGAAGCTTACTACACTTTACACACATCTCGAAATCATCTTAGAACACTACAGAGCTTTTTATACTGCATTCAAATTACATACTGATCCAAGCTAAAACATAGAAAAACGAGTTTTACTGTAATTGTGGATTAATAGAGAGATGACCAAAGTTAGCGTCTTGCTCAAGCCAGAGCTCATTTATTTCTGAGTAGCGCATGAGCGGAGTGTACTCCTCAAACCACAGGAGAACGAAAACAAAAAAGCAAACAACAATTTAGTCCTTTTATGTACTCACAAGGTTATTTCAACCATAAAATAAGAGTGTTAACTCTCTGAGTAATCACAATCTATTTTCCCTATCTTTTTGACATACCTACATTCACATTCAAGCTAAGGAACATAGGTGTCATTTACACTGGGGACGCTGGGGACACGTCCCTACCACTCTTATTTAAAGCATAATCTGTTAACAAATGTTCTGAAATATAGCTTGCGGTTAAATACCAAATGAAAACGCCTTTCGGGAGCTTGTAGCTGCAGTCTCTCTACTTGATCCAGAGCAATCCCAGCGCACAATCTACTGACGAGTAAGTGCATTACCTTAATGTTATGACTAGAGTATTAAAATAGATTATAACAAAAAATGCGGGGTGTCTGTTTATAGAAAACTAAACATGTAGCATTTCCAACCTACTACAAAAACAATAAACAAAATAGTACACTGCACAACAATATACAAAACAGTCCTTATGTTACAGTATTCATGGTTACCAAAGGAAACATAAGGAGACAGTAATCTGTTGTAGAGTTTGAGAAGTTATTCTTATGTGATGTTTTTAAAGTGCAGTTTATGTAGTAAAGT